GCAAATTCAGCACTTCGTAAGCTGTTGCGCGCGCTCCCAAAACCGCGATTAAATGCAAGATATGCAATTCGTTGCAATATGCAATTAAGACATCGCGACCTAGTACCAAAAGTCACCTACTTTCGGACAATAAAAGAAGAGATAACGAGTACCTCGGGGCCGTATTCCGAAACTAAGTGGTGACGCGTATACTTGAAGAAACTGTGAGATTCTGCAAGCGCCGATATTGCCGAAGCATCACCAAACCGAACTCTACGATACGTAAGCTGTACAAATAAATCTTTTTGCACGGAATCTTTGTCTCATGTTTCTCGACATTTGGAGTCCCAACTCCTAAGACGAGCCGAACCCTTGGATCATCCCCAAATTTCCGTTGTACCCGGAGAGGCACAATAAAATTGATGGCAGCAGTGGGATTGGTCCAGCTAAAGAAATAAATAAGAATATAGTGGGATACGCCCAACTATTTCGAGACACAATTGATAACAAAAATCGATTGACAAATTGAGCAAATCAGCACCAAGTGCGAGCAAAAGAAGAAATCGTCAGTGCCTGAGAGACCCGGAAGAAGAACCGTGACAAGAAGGTGAAGCGCAAAAGAACGAGCAATCAAACGCAACGCCCAGCAACTAGCCGATCGTAGCAAACCAAGGATGCCGCCCGTGCAACGGAAAACTCACCGACGCTGACCTACAGCAACGTGCACCGCCGAGCGATCCAACCACAACAGCTGACCGTGCAGAAGCAATGAGTAAGCGAAAGAAGAATGCGTATCATCGCTAAACTGTAAGTCAAAGACATTGTACAATAAAATAGCGTGAATGTTGGCACAACCGAAAAGAGTTACGTTCCACCGACCGCGATTTTTAAGCGTACCAGCGCGACTAGCAAATAGATTCGGCTTTGTAACCCCCGTACGAGTAATCGAAAAAGCGGTCCGCGACATTCGCGATAACGTACGGAGAAATTTAGATAACCATTTTTCAGGCGCGAATTCACCCGAATTAGGATCTCGCGAACTAGAAATAAATCAAGTAGCGGAAAATACACTCCCGCCTAACAATAATAATAACATAATAGAAGTAGACAGACCTGATATAAATCGTACATCCGTCGAACATGTCGCCGTTAGGAAAAATTACTCTCCCGTAATATACGACAGTAGCATCTTCGAAGCAAATAACGAAGAAAACATGCAACGTAATCCATTACCGTCAACTGTCCCCCCCGAAGACGTTGATAGGGAAATAAAACGCTTGCGAGCACAGGCTAGAAATAACGCCGCCGCGGACAATGAAGACGCCGGACGTCCACTCGAAGATCCGAGCAATTTGTACTGATAATCGAAATCGTGCAAACTGTTCGAGAAATGCGAGAAGAAATAAGAGAATTACACGAGCAAATGCACGATCTACACGAGCAAATGCATGATCTACGCAAATTGAGAAGATTTAAATAGAACGCGAACGATACCGAATGACACTAACCTTGATGTCACATACGGACGAACACTTAACGATGTTCGAAATCAATCGGCACCTTTAAACGGTCATTTACGATTAAAAGAAGCAAGAGATATGATTCCGGAATTTGATGAAAATTCACAAACTAAACTTAAAGAATTTTTAAGCGCATGTTCATACGCGATAAAAAATATTAATCCCGCAGATGAAAAAACATTATTAGAAGCAATACTTTGCACGAAGCTAAAGGGAAAAGCTATGGTAGACTTTGAAACGCGAAATATAAACAGTTTCGGACAGTTTAAAAGAGAACTCGAAATCTGCTATTTAAGCAAGAAGAGCATTACTCACTTGCAAAT